GGTTGAACAGGTCCATTTTTGTTCATGGGGTACCAGCGATTATGAGAACAGAAGGACAACTGGACGGCCGTGGCCTTTGACGGCCATCGTCCAGATAACAGGTAGTCCTCGGCTTAGGACCACAATTGAGCCCAGAATTTATGCGGCTAAAGCAAGGTGTTTGTTAAGTGAGGTTGGCCCCACTTTATGGCTTTTCCTGCCACGTTTGTTAAGCGAATCCCTGCAGTTGCTAAGCTAGTAACAGGGCGGTTCAGTGAATATGACTTCCGCATTGACTTGGTTTATCGGAAGGTCGCAAAAGGGGATCAAGTGATCTCTGGATACGGCGACCGTCACAAGTATGAACCTGCTGTCAAACATCCATGGTGGCGCAGTGGTGAGAGTGCAGTGTTACAGGCTGCTTCTGCTGCCTGCCGGCTGCCTGCAATTGGGCAGTCCGAGTCCCACCAGGCTCCAGGCTGACTCAGCCTCCCGTCCGTCCGAGGTGGGTCAAAGGAGGACCCAGATGGTTGGGGGCCAGAGGCTGGCTCTGTAAACCGCTTAGAGAGGCCTGTAAAAACCCTGTGGAAGTGGCATAGAAGTCTAAGGGCCGTGGCTATCGCTATCCGAATGTAAATCGTGTGAGCCTAGGGATGCTGCAACGCTGAGAAATGGTCTAGAAGACCTCCAGGGTCCCTCCCAGTTCTGCTATTCTGCATTCCGAGACCTGCAGCTGGTTCCCCCTTTGGGGAGAAGGTTGGGGTGTGTGTGGTGGTGGTGGTGGGGGAAACATGGGGAGGTGGGAAGGGGTTGCACTTCCCAGGCTTCTCAAAATCAGAACCATGTGCCGGCTGCAGAGAGCAAGGCAGGGCTGGGAAACGGGTTCGGCGGCCGTGGGGTAAGCGTCCCATCCAAAACCAAACCCTTCGAATTCCAGGCCCCTGGGCCAAGAGGAGGGGGAAAGGGGGGTGCGGGGCCCCCCCCCCCCCAGGGCCTGGGAATCATCAGGGGGAAAAACACACACACACACACACACA